CATTCCCATCCTTACGGCTTTCAGTACAGGATCTCTCACTGGACGGGAGGCTCTGGACTTGTCAACTGGTCTCTGGCAGGGTGCTATGAACAGTCACTAGGAAAAAGACAGTCTCTCTCTTGAACATCTATCTGGCCTTGAGAAAACTGGACAGCCAAATGAAGAATCGTGAAATTGAACCCCAGTTTTATGCCATTCTCCCCAAAATAACAATAATGGGTTAAAGAGCTAAACTATAAAAATTCCTGAAATTACAGGGGAGAAACGTGTTGACATTTGTCTTTGCAATGATTTCCTAAACATGACCAAAAAGAAGCAGGACTATGTGAGGCCAAATGTTCCACACGGCACAGAAAACAGCCTACGGGAGGCGAGGAAATATTTGCAGACCACTTAGACTACCCAAAATACACAGACACTCCCTCAACACAACTGCAAACAGCGACAACAAACATTTGATAAAACACCAAATAACCCAACTCAAAAGTGGGCTAAGGACCGCTCCATGGAAGGCATGTGATGTGCGGGCAAAAGACAGGTGTTCAACACCATTCAACCCCAAGGAAATGCTAAACAGTTTTCTAAAACATAATACTTAATAATGTCATGCTTTTCTACATTGTGGGTAAATTCCACGGTTTTTAGCCTGGGGTTTCAATTATTAATTTATCATCTAACTGCTCCAAATCCCCCCTTTAAGGACCTGATCTGTGGCAGCTGGAAGGTCTCCTGAACCAGTCCCCTTTATCATAAGGGCAATGCTTAGATCCACCAGTAGAGGGCAGGAGAGGGAAGGGGCACTGCATATTTGACTGTGTGGGCTGCTTCTACGATGCTCCTGCCGTCCTGCTGGTGGTTGATGCCTATGTATGGTTGGGGTCGTGTAGAGAACATCTTGTGGCATTCTGCCCTAGCACACAAGTGGTTTCAGGCCCTTGGACCTTCTAAATGACCACCTTGCTGAAGGTCTCTCTACACAGACACCAGTATGCCCCAAGCCTCAGGCCAGCAGCAAAGCCTTGACCTCTCTATGCACCTTGCTTAACCCTGTGCCCGAAGACTGTTGCTGTAGCCTGTGACCTGGGTCAGTTCTGGCCAGGACCACCCTGAAGAGTGTGTTGCCTAGTGTCCTACAACCAAGCTTTCCTGGATGAGGAAGCCCCTTCGTTGTGGTTTGAATACAGAATGTGTTCCGCAGGCTCACGTGTTGAACACTTGCTGTCCACCTTGTGGCATTGCATTGGCAGAAGGTAGAAACTTTATGGGGTGGGGTCTAGTTGGAGCAAGTAGGTCCTCTGGGTCATGCTCGGGATGTTATACCTGGCTCATGATCCCATTTGCAATGTCTCTGCTTCCTGGCCTCCATGGTGTGATGTGCTGGATTTCGCACACCTTCCCCTTCATGGTAGACTGACACTTCTGAAGCCACAAGTGGAAGAAATCTTTCTCCCTCTGTACTGTTTATTCTGGTAGTCTATCACATGGGTGCAAATCTAACTCGTGCACCTCCGCTCTAAGTTTGCCCTTCCCTGTGCACTCTCCTGGCCCTAGGGTGCCCACTAGGCTCCTCTTTCCATGCTTACAGTTACCGCTCTTGCTGCCCAATAGTTCTTTAGAGGTGTCTTCCCCTTGTTCAAATCGTTTTATGGTTTCTGCCTCCTGAATGGACCCACATGGACACTGCAGCAAGGACCATGTTTCAGGCATGGTCCTAGGAATTCAGTGTTGGACAGGAAAAAACCCACACTAGAATGGAGCATGTCCTTATTCAAATAGCTGGTCCTTACTGGGCAGCTCCAGGGAGGGACTGGGTCACTGAGGAGTCTTTACTAACAGCTATGAAATAACTCAGGAATCACACAGTCCCCTGGCAGGTACCTCTATAGTCACTGTCCGACAGACCGAGCAATGAGAGAGGGCAGCTGAGGGCTCAAAGCGACAGGAGACAAGAATTCCTGGTGGAAGGCAGACCTGCACTATGCATCTCTCCTGCCCTCTTGCTATGGTCAGACAGAAACGTCCCTTTTCCTCCTAAACATGGGGACTGAGACTTCTCTGCGTTAGAGACAGCTGAAATCCCATGTTGTAAAAACGATTCAGAGATTCAGAGAACAGAAGATACAGGCCCCAGAACTTAGAAAGAACTCAAGCTGGACAGCTAACGAAGTTCAGAATATTGAATCCGGAAGGCTCTGTGTGACACATTCGTAGATTCTATTGAGAGAAAAGGGATCTTCCCAAAACAATGGGAAGAGACAGACTGGTCAGCCCATGTCTGTGAAGGGCAGACATCCTCTGTCCTATTACCAAGGGGTAGATATATCATTCAACTCTTTTCAACATAGATTGTAAGATGAATAACACAATATGACTAGCCCTCAGGCTTCTGTGCGGCTCTGTGTCTTACCTTCATAAATCAGGAACAATGAAGTCACATCTGGACTTGGGAGACTCCATCTACTGTGGCCTCCTGCCAGGGGCTTCCTGTTTAGTGTGAGGCTGGAGAAAGAAACACAGGTTGGCAATCGCACAGGAGAATGAATGGTGGTGGGCCAGAGACCAGAGGACACAGCCTCCCTGATCCATCGTCTGAGGTCAGCCACTGTAGAATACGCCTTCAGGACCCGCTGTGTGAAGTTGGAGACTTCCGATGTTCTCTGTTCGTGGACAGAACAGGAGTTCTTGTTTCCTAACTAACACAGAATGGGGTGTGGGAGTGCTCTGAGGCTGGAAATCCAATATAAAAGTACAGTCAGGGACTGTCCCTTCTAATGACTGCAGCAAGGACCTGTTGTGTGCCTTTCCCCTTGCCTCAGGAGTTGCTTGGCATGCATATCCTTCCTTCTTGCTCACATGGCCTCTCTCTCTCTCTCTCTCTCTCTCTCTCTCTCTCTCTCTCTCTCTCTCTATGTGTGTGTGTGTGTGTGTGCGCGCGCGCGCGCGCGCTTGTATATTCAAATTCCTCTTTTTACAAGGACACCAGTCATATAACACTCCCCTCCACTATTAACAGCTTCATTTTAACTTATCACATCTGGAAAGAACCTTTCTCCAAACAGCCATGTGCCAAGGCACTGAGTTTAAGACACCGGTGTAAGAGTTTGGGACAACACAAGTTAACCCACGACAGAGGGAGGTAGCAGTGGCCTCACCGTCGCTACTCGCAAACACTGAGAGCTACGGTGTGAGGGTGCCACAGGACACACACAGTGCTGGCCGCTATTCAACCCTAACACTGTGTTTGGAGACAGACCTTTTAGGGAGTCACGGAAAACAAGGTCATGTGCAAGGGCCCCTAAACAGACAGACAGTGGCCTTGCAAGGAGAGAATCAGCCGGTGTCTCAATCTTAGGTTTTCTCTGCAATCATGAGAAATAAATGCTTGATGCTCAAGCCTCCAAGACTGCAGCACTTGGCTGCAGGGGCCTAAACAGACTTAGGCGGACAGAAGAGACCAATATCCCCAAGACAGGGGGCCGCTGGCTTTGCTGGCACTCTCGCTGGAAGAGGATCTCCGGGGAAGGAAGGGGACTTGACAATTTATTCACAAGGCATAGACTGGGGATACTTTAGAGCAGGCAGGGGTGAGGAGAGAGAAAATGCCCTGGAGAGGGACATTTTGCACGGTGGAAGAGAGATCGGAGAAGCCTGGAGACGAGTTTGCACCTTCTCTCAGCCCTGCGTGGATTTGTAATTGGCTGCCAGGCTGTTTCTGCTGCCCGTGATGGGTCAGGCCAGTCCACCTTCCCACCTGCTGCAGAATTACACACCCTGGCCTGGTGCAAAATGCTGTTGCCACAGAGTGATCACAGCTCCCTCTCTCCGCTCTGGGGGTGGGGACGGCGACAGGGCAGGGAGCAGCAATAGTGAGCAGAAGTCTGCTTCCAAGCTTTGGGGATCAACGTATCCCCTTGTGTGAGAATGCCTAATATGTGCTTCCATGCATGTATATCTGATTTTAAATGAAGTGTATTTCCTACTGTGAACGCCAATGAGAGAGCACATTCAATAAGGCTCTAGTCTTCCTCTCTCCTTTCCTGTGGACGGCAACAGGAAGGATCAACTCAGCTTCTGGCTAAACAGTGGCCGCAGTCTCGAGGACAGAGGAGACAAGAAAGAAGCTGTGTCTACCTGCAGATTGTTATTCAGGGAATAAACAGTGTTGGAACCACTCTAACGGGAAGCGATTGAACCTGTATTGCAAGCCCTGCCACTAGGGGACGCACTGCAGGTCAGCATTGGCCAGGAACAAGAGGAAACCGACTTACTCTCAACCACCTCCCTCCATCCCTAACTCTGTAAAACCTGGCTGAACCCTTGACGCGCTCAGCCTGTTTCCTCCTCTGAAGAGAGCAGTACTGTTGTCTCACAGGTGTCTGTGGGCCTCGAGGAAAGCGAGGCTTGCTGTTAAATTCAGAGCCGCGGAAGAGGGCAAGGCTTAGGCCAGGTGTGGTGGTGCCCATGTGCCTGTAATCCTGAAATCATGCCGAGGCATGCGGGGCCTGGGTGGGAGACTAGCCTGTCTCGAGGACAGGAGAAGAGGTGAGGCGAAGTCTCCAGCTGCAATGGCAGAGAATTCGCTTAGCAGTTACTGGGGAGACTTCTGAGAATCCTTTGCCCTCGAGCGACATGTTCCAAATTTTGAGCCAACGGGAAAGGGCTCAGGAAAACAACCACCACCCAAAACAAAACAATAAGAAAAATCTCTGCAGGCCATGAAGCCAGATGGTGAGTCTCTTGCTGTCTATTACTCAGTCCCATTTTAGAGGAAAGCCTGCTGAGTCGTGTGGTGGGTGAGCTGTGAGGGGAATGGGGATGGTTAAGTCCCCTTCATCTACTGAGCTCCACACACCATACACCAGAGAACTGCAGAGCACCTGAGTAAAGACGCACTGGCTACTCCGCATGACGTCACTGCTGCCCAGGAAGCCACGAGGTCTCAGTGGAGGTGGCACAACGCAGAGACTAACTGTTGCTGCCTTGGGTTCAACCTCGCTCCCCTGCCCTGCTGGCTCTGGGTTCCAGGGAGATTCTGGATCCCCAGTGAGCCTTAATTTCCCGCACTATGAAAGCAACACCTTGAGCAGTACCCCGACACCTGGGGAGCTGTAGACTCATGGGACAGAAAACTGAGCAGTGAACAGGGTTCCTAGTGGGAAGCCAGAACTCAGGTTCCCACTGCTGAAGTCTCAGTGTAGACCAGTCTGGGGAAGAAAAGTCCTAGGGGAACCCTTAGAGGATCCCCCCCTCTTCTGACCTTCAGAGTTCAACTAGATTTGCTTGGAGAGTCATAAAGAAAATCTCTTATTCTCGTGTCCCCACCAGGAAGGAAGGAACTACTCACAAGTACTGTGAGCCTTCTCAACAAGGTCTGCTCTCCCTGAGCTCACCTACAGGTCTTTAGAGCCTCCCTGGCCCAGGGGAAGGGAACGCTCTGTCCAGGCACCTGAGCCAGCCCATCCCACCACATGAGGAACACTACTGATGTCCACATCCCCTACAAGAACCCCACCTTTTACCATCATGTGGCCACAGTCTTGCTTATCCAGAGCTCTGCATTTTACCCAGAACATTATGTCTGGTGGTTAAGAAAACAATGTAAGAAAATTATAATACATCTACAAGGAAAACAACACCCACACATGAGCACAGTTTTTGTTTTGTTTTTAAAGCACTCAGATACTGCATGAATGGTGGGATTATTGGACATGGAATGGGAAAATAACTGTGATTGTGATGTGAAGTGCTCTAATGGACAGAGTGGACAGCACACAAGCACCCAAGGGCCATGTGAGCAGAGAGAGGAAAGTCTATGAGAACCATCTGGAAAGGACACTGTGAAACTAACCTTCAAAACCGAAGAGAAGCACATTATCAGACGAACAAAGGTGGAGAGGACTTTGTTGATAGGCCCTTGCAAGAAACTCCAAAAGAAGAAGCCGTTTGGAGAAAAGAAAGTCTTTATCTATGCCGTAAAGTAAGCTCTCCATGGAGGGGGGAAACACAGCAGAGAAAAGGTGAGTGGAGATAACAACCTTCATTTTTTAAATTAATTGATCTAATATTAAATGTTTTAAATTTGTTCAAAATAAGAACAACAATATATTCAGTTATGTAACACACACTTAATATATAGGGAACACCATCATGCACCAATGACACAAAAGACAAGAGAGAGAATTAACGGGATTCTTCTGCTGTGTTCACAATTACCCTCAAGACAGCATAGTGTGATCTGAAAGTGACCGTGGATTAGTTATAAATGTGCAAAGTCTGGGACAAGCACTTAAAAAAGGAAGAAGGAAAGATGGGTAAGGAGGAAAAACAGGTCAAAAGTGGAGGAAATGGAATCAGAAAGAACACTCAGGGTTGGGGACCGACTGGAGCTGGTGTGTGGATGGAGGGCGGGGTGCAGAGCTCTCGGGTAAGTACGCACAAGGCCCTGGCTCTATTGCCAGCAGGAAAGGAGGAAGGGAAGGAAGCTGGGTGGGAGAGGGCAGGGAGGCAGGGAGGGAGGGAGGGAGGGAAGGAGGGAGGGAGGGAGGGAGGGAGGGGAGGAGGGAAGGAGGGAGGGGAGGAAGGAAGGAGGGAAGGCCAGTTAAAAGTCCTAAGAACAGACAAATGGAAGGGGAAATGGGCACAGAGATCAAGGGGCAGCATACAGAAAACATCTAAGCAAAAGCTGTCAGAATGGATCAAAAAAGCAGACCAGCTGTAAGATATCTAAAGAAACCTAATTTAAATATAAAAATACACATCATTAAAAATAAACGGATGGGATTTGCCGTGTTGGTGCTAATTTTAAAAAGCTAGAGCAGCTTTCAGACAGATCTGACTTCAGAGCGAGGACTGGAAGCTGTCACGGATAAGGCGGGGCGTTACATAGAGACAGAGGGTCAGCTCTCCAGGAGCGTGTAACAGCCCTAAGGCATCGGCACCTAACGGCAGAGCCATCCTGCATATGAGAGCGGCTAGGAAAAACACACAAATCCACCGCCGCCACTGTCAAAGACCGCCACACCCTCTCAAAACAGACTCAAGAAATGGACCCATCAGTCAGCATACAAACCAGTAAGGATGTGGTTGAACCAGGAGGAGGAGGCACAGTTTAAAAAAATTAGTGAAGATGTAAGTGAATGCAACTGCATTGTAAACTGGACCTGAGTGACAGCTGTCTGCCTCACCCAACAGCAGGACACAGCCTCTTCTCACATTGTTGGCATGGTGCCTCCTCCAAGACAGATCATATTCTAGTCACACAACAACACACCTATATAAAAGTAAAGGAATGGAGATCAGGGGGTGGGAGCTAGCTCAGTGAGTGAGAACACTGGCTGTGCCAGCGTCAAGGATTTTAGCTCTCTAGCACCCACATAAAAAGCCAGGCACGGCCACACAAGCCTATAACCCCAACCCTGGGGTGGAAGAAGTAGGGGAGACAGAAGTGATGTGGAATATTAGTTGAAGATGTGTTACATTTGCTTATGCTGTGGAGCATTTGTTTAATGATGCAGAGATGGGTTGCATTCCTTTATATTGCATTTGTTTAACTCTGTGAAGCTGTGTTACTGTGCCTGTCTAAAGCATCTGATTGGTCTAATAAAGATCTGAATGGTCATCTCATCTCCACACCTGTGTCATGATGCACATGCCTGCACTCATGCCTGCATACCATACACTCACACATGGACAGCATGCACACACACACATGCATAATAAAAATACCCTTTCAAGTTATTTGTGGTGTGCATATACATGTTCATGTGGGTGTGTGCATGGTGTGCATGCAGATGTATGTGCACATGCGGGGTGTGGAGAACTGTGGTTGATGTCACATGTCTTCCTCTGTTGCTTTCTGTTTTATTTTTTGAGATAAGCTCTCTAACTCAACCTGGAGCTCAGCAATTCAGGAAGTATGGCTGGCCAATAAGCTATATGAATCCACCTGTCTCGGGGGGGGGGCGCCCCCCCTTATCCACACCCCCATGCCACATCTAGGGTTACAAACATGCACTGCCATACCTAACCTTTACAAGGTGTTGGGATCGGTACTCCGCACTTGACCAACTGAGCCATGTCCCCAGTCCCTAAAAGGTACACCTTTTGAGACATGGAAGAGTTGAAACACACTAAATGCACAATAGTCCCTGTACCTGGTTTAAATCCTTTTAACACACAGCCAGTCTTGTCTATATCATCTCTCCCACTTCTTGCCCATAATTATTTTGATACATATCTTGTTCCATCTGTTTTAACCTAACTAAATTATACTCTTTTTAAAAATATAACAGTGCCATTGTCATACCTCAAAGCAATCTAATTTGTGAGAAGATGACAGAGGCCTCTATTCTGTGTCTATATAAAAGTTACCGATGGGGTGGGTAGCTCACAGTGAAGAGTTGGTCATGCAGGCCTGAGGGCTGAGTTTGCACCCAGCGCCCACATAAAAATCCAGGCATCATGGCACATGCTTGTAATCCCAACGCTGGGGAGGCAGGAACAGAAGGATGGCCAGCCAGCCTAGCCCAGCTGTGACCCCCAGGTCCCAGTGAGAGACCCTGTGTGATAAACCCAATTGGAAGCCAGGTATTATGGAGCACCCCTTTAATCCCACTTGAGGGGCAGAGGCAGGCAGATCTCTGTGAGTTCCAGGCCAAACAGTGTTATGTAGCAAGACCCAGTCTGCAAAAACGAGGATGTCTCCTATGCCACCCAAGGCTGACCTCTGGCCTCTGTTGGGGAATATTATCTTAACTAGGCAAAGATGTGTTACATTTGTTTATGCTGCAGAATATTACTGTAACCGTGTGAAGCTGTGTTACATTTGTTCCTGCTGCCTTTGTTAACAATGTAAAGATGTGTTACATTTGTTTATGTGCATTTGTTTAATTATGAAAGATGTGTGCTGTTTACCTTGCCTGCCTAAGGCACTTGACTAGTCTAATAAAAAGCTGAATGGCCAATAGCTAGGCAGAAGAGGGATCGGGAGGGCTGGCAGGCAGAGAATAAGTAGGAGGAGGAATCGAGGCTTGAGAGAGAAGGAGGAGGACAGAATGAGGGATAAAGAGAGGGCCACTCCCAGGGCCAGAAGCCAGGCAGCTGCCAGCCAGGCATGGAGACAGCAGGAAAGTAAGATATACAGAAAGAAAAAAAGGTAAAAAGCCCCAAGGCAAAATGTAGATAAAGAGAAACAGATTAAAGTAAGAGCTAAGCTAAGGCTGAGCATTCAAAACTAATAAGTCGCCTTGTCATGATTTGGGAGCTGGTTGGCAGCTCAAAAGAAAAAGCGTGGTACAGGGCTCCATGGGCACACACGTGCAGCACTGCCCCCCCCCCACTCCCATACACCTCCACTCATGAATGTACACACAATAAACAATAAAAGCTATAAACTGAGGCAGTGAATTCTTAAATAGAATGTGTCCCATCTTATACTTCACTCTGATACTGAAGCCAATTTCCGATGTTGAATTCTTGGTTTCTTGGAGTTCCACAATGGCATTCTAGAACCACCACAGGGAGCCTTGCACACACATATATAAGTCCAAGCTGAGCATACCTATAGTGCCCTTAGCCCTCAAGGAAAAGGGCCATAGAACTGGGCTTGGAACCATTTGGCAGGGAAGTCCACAGCCCTATCCCTTGGCCAGGTGGGTTCCCCATCCCACAGGAGAAGGTGGTGTGGATGGCAGGTGTGAACAGTCTGTTCTCACAGATGGTTCTGGAAGGGAGATGGAGCTTCTGCCATCCTATCCCCTGTATCTTTTGAGTTATCACCCCACTTCATAAATACAAGCAAACACACACACACACACACACACACACACACACACACACAGAGTGTAGGCTCGATGTGTCACAGGAAATGGGGTGGGGGATGTACAAGACATGTTATCAAATAACCCATAAGGGTGAAGGGTCAAATCGAGCCGCAGCCACGACCATCCACTAGGTAGAAAGCAAACAGGAGAGCAGCTTCCTATTGGTCTGAGGTGATTCTCCCAAAAGAAGCAAATAGGACGTAAGTCACATTAACTCACTCGACATTCACATAGTCTCCTAGATGGACCATAATAAGGCAAAGTTCATGTAAGAGAAGCAGACCTAAACGGAGTTGTAAAAACATATTCTAGAACCTTGATGTGATGCCCGAGAAGGAGTGCATTTTTCATCCTTTGCAGCAACTAAAGTGCTTCTCTCCTGGCCCTTCCCTGGGAAGGGAGGTGTGTCCTTTGATCAGAGAGACAGGACTCAGTCACCCTGAGCCATTTGCTCCAAGTGGCCTCTTCACACTTGACTGAACACACTGTTAGAGCCCCCCACTCCTCACTTGGGGAATTTGCGTTATCTTTCCAGCTCCACTCCCTATCAGCTCTTATCAGAACAGGAGTGGTGCTTCAGGGTACTACAGAACACCAGCTCTCCACAGAGGCAACGTGTACTCAGCTGCCTGAGAGCGAGGCCCAGGCTCTTTCCACAGGATGGGGAGGGAAAATCAGGGGCTGCGTCCTGAGAGGAGGTGGGACCAGGAAGCCGGGCATCGCCATTTGAGAGAGTCAGGCCAAGCCCCAGATGGTGCCTCCTCACTGACTCTGAAAAAAGAGCTGCATTGCTACTCATGTCTCAGAAGAGAGAACACCCAGGCTCTGGGACACTGTTATGAGCCGTGGCCACTTGGTAGTCTGGTGCGTAGGGATGGCACTTGTTCAGCCAGAGATCCTGAGAGATGGGGAGAAGTCACAAGCCATTCAACTCAGTCCTCTTACCCTCCGTAATCTGAAGATGGGTTCTTATGGGCCATGTGTGAAATGTCCTCCACAGGCTCATGCATTTGAGCCCTTGCTTCCAGCTAGTGGTGCTGTTTGGGAAGATTGCTGAAACTTTGGGACTAGGGGTCTGGTTGGCTGCCTTGGAGCCATCGGGGGTAGAGGATTCAAGGCTGGCCTGGCTTCTTGTAGACTGCTCCTTGTCTGCCTCTACAATAGGACCAGCTGTCTTGGGCTTCATGCCTTCCTCATCACAAAACGGTGAGCTGAAACAAGTTCCCTCTCCACTAAGTTGCTTCTTCTGGAATTTTTCTCATAGCCCAAAGGTATCTAATACAAACGTGTTCATTGTTTTCAGACTAGCACACATCTTCCTCATCAGAAGGCACCAACTCACTAGACACCCTCCCCTTACAGATCACTTCACCTTACCTTAGGGTGAGAAATGATTAATTACCCTGCTGGATCAGAACTATCTGTATTAATGCCCACCGCGTTTCAGGCCTACTCCTCACTCTGAAAGGCTTTTTAAGTAGAAATGAGCAGGGGGTAAAAACCCATGCATGGCTCTTAGCCCTCGCTTTAACATTTTCTTGTCTTTTGTGTAATTAAAAAAAATAAGTAAATAGAATCTTATTTAAAGCCGAACACCAAGGTTACCATTTCTAGTTCCCTCACAAAGCTATCCAATCAGGGATGAAGTTCACCTTGTTACCACGGGCAACCAGCAGTTGCCCCTCTGCTCTGAGAGGCCTTCTCCAGAACACAGCATCGCTGCTCTCGAGACTACATTTTCTATGGAAGGGGGATGCCCCTCCTCAGACCTCCAACCTCCTCCAAAAAGCTCGGGCCCACCTGCTTTCTTCCCTTTCCAGACATTCGGAAGAGAGCAGCTGGTGAAACATGCAGTGCGCAGCAGTCTCCTCCAAGGTGGTAGGCCAAGGTCAGACCGCAGGGCTGCTCAGCTGGGATGTTAATGATGTCATTTGTAGAAGCCATTTGGTTTACATATGACAGCCACCGAAAAACTCCTGTGTACTCCAAAGATGACATCATAAACAAGGCTCAATCGCGAGGATTTTAGATGGAGAGACGATTCTCAAAAGTAAGTCCAGACAAGCCACCTGCCCATGCCTACATGACATTCCTCTTCCTCCAGTTTTACACTCCAGTTTGGTTTGGTTTTTTTAATACTCTGGCCTCATGCCCAGCACCACAGAATGAATCATGACGAGCCCCCTCCTCACTTTCCCAAGAACTCTCACAATCAGGGTGTCTCTGTGATTCATGTCTAGCCAATGAGACCTAAGGGAGCGGCTGTGAAAAGCGTTGCTTTTCTTACTAAAGGGATAACAGACATCACTACTTCAGCTCTCCACTCCCTTTTTTCTGCCTTGAATACAGACATATTGTATGGAGCTGTGGCAGCTATTTTGGAAACACAAGATAAAGAAAGCCTTGGAAAGCCTTAGTCTACTTGGATGCTAAGCAAATACCGCAGACTGGTGAGTTATAAATGATAGGGAGCTATTTCTTGGAGTTCTGCAGACTGGGAAGGTGGACAGGGCATCAGCAGATTTGGTATCTGGCTAGGATCCACTTCCTCCTTCATAGACAGCTATATTCTAGCTGTGGGAGGGGAGAGGGAACTCTCTGTCGTCTTTTTCATAACGGCACTGATCTCATTCCTACGGGCTGCACCCCATGACCCAACATCCTTTGAAAGTCCACTTCCTATCACTATCAAATTGGGGGTGGGGGGTCTTGATATATTCATTTGGGGGAGACACAAACATACTATTGTGCATAGTCACTCTCAATAGTGTCTGTTCCTGGTAGGTTATCCAGCACTGACTTCAGAGCTTGAAAAATATGACCTGGGATTTACATGGCACTATCATACACATCACGGATTAATATCATGGGATTCCATGGTAACTTCAGGTGGAAGCAGTTTGGAATTGTTGTGAATCCTACCTAGATGACTTAGTTTGCATCAGGGCTGATGGCATCTTTTGCCCCAGTGGGCACCGGCCGGTCTCTTTCTCCTCAGGATAGCCATTAGGGATTTCCCTGCTGCAGCGGGCCCTGCCTGCCTGCATGCCCCAAGACACTGGCCAGGCCAGCCTCCAGTGGGCTGCATTGCTGCTTTAGAAGGTGGGATACTCCTTCCTCTGCCCCGACGCCCCGGGGTTCAGAGGAGCCCAGCACACCCAGGAGTGGTCAGTGCCCTCTCTTCTCTCCTTACACACTGCCTTGAACACTCCAGTCGCTTTCATGTCCTCGACTGGGTGACACAAGATGAAGTTTTGTGGGCCTTGTGACTCCAGTCCTCGTGATACTGGGCAGACAGAACACTGCTGCATCGGGGCACACATTCCTGAGCTCCCTTCGCCTGGTGGCATTTCTGTTGACCGTGGATTAGACGCTGATATCCCCAGATTCTCCTACTGAAACCTAACTGTCAAGGCAGTGTGGCAGAGGGAGGTGGGGTTTGAGCTGATCCCAATCCTGGAACCCTCATGAATGGGCCAAAGAGACAACAATCTCCCGCTTTCGCTGAATAAAGACAACGGGGAAGCTGTCACCTATAAGAAAGAAGGTGGTCCTAGACAGGACCCCCACCCCCACCCCGCGCTGGCCTCTTGATCTCAGAGTTCCGGCCTCAAGAACCATGGGAAATAAGTAGCATGTGTGAACCAGCAGTCACAGCGCTTTGTCACAGCAGCTCGCCCTAAGACATTGAATTCCCGACTGGAGGAGTCAGCAGGTCTCCAGCAGTGCACCTAACTGGTTGGAAGCCTGACCCCCCGACAGGGCCAGGTCAGAAAGGGCTTGTGTTGAAACTTTAGGCCGCATTTGTCTGCATCCAGATGGTGCCATTGCCACGCCGTCCTCAGACGCACTTTTGAGCCCCTGGACTGCGGTGATAAACTTCAGGAACCCTTGCATAAGCCCGGCGCTAGGAGAACAGAGCAAGGCTCCGTGGACAGCAGAGTCACACAACCCACGTTCCGGGCCTGCTGGTAGCGCAGGGATGCACACATACATCTAGGCTGGGTGAGGGCTCTAAATGAAGATAGGAAAATCTAATCCTCCATTCATCATCCAGTCAGAATGAAACCAGTCATTTCCCCAAACGCCACTTCTCCTCCACAAACAGTGGCCATAAAATCAGAGGCTCTGAAACTTTAAGAGGCCATAAAGCCTTTGGCAACAACACCAAGCTTAGAGAACACACATGAATAAATAAAAACCAAAAGCTGTTGCGGAGACATGGCTGCGCCCTCAAGGACACAGAGCAACAGATTCATCGCGGGAAGAAACAGCCCACTGGGCCCAACAGCATCCCACAGGACTCCTGGGGAACTGCCTGCTGGGCATCCATTTCTAGAAGCCCTGAGAAGCCCTGCGCCTAGTCAGCAGCCCCCGGCCTGTTGGACAGAGATGAGCAGGCTGCAAGTCAATGTTAAGGCCATTTCGTGGTACAGAGTAGCCTTGCTGAAGGACACCCAGGAGTACAGACCCTCCTCTAAGGAGGGCGAAGGTGGGCATCTGTTTCTGGGACGACCCACACTCCACCTCCAGTGGCTGAACGCACTGCTTCAGGCAGAGTGGTGCTCCTGGGGGCTCTGGGTTCTGGAATGTGTGTGAGCAATGCTTCGCACTGCAAGCGTCTGAAGCCGTGGCTGATTTCTCCGTTGAGAGCTGCCTACAAAGAGCCCACAAACCTTGCAGCCTGCGTGGGTCGGAGTCTTGTCCTCAGTTTAAAAACATCCTTTCCTCTGTGGAACTCTAGGGACAGATTATGTAAAGACCTGCAGCGAGACCCTTGATGGGAGGCAGAATGAAAACGCCTCGCTCCCCTGCGCTGCCGCGCTAATGGGAACACAGCTGGTCTCCATCCAATCTCTCCTTGGGCTGTAAATTCAGCCTGCGAGCCCTGGGAAGCTTCAGGGATAATTTGCTGTAGAATTAGCATTGAGGGGCTAGGGAGATGGCTCATCTGGTGATGTGCTCATCACACAACCATAAGGGCCTGAGTTCGATCCCTAACACCCACATTAAAAAACCAGGCATGATGTCATGTACTTGTAATTCCGTCACTGGGGATGTAGGAAGATCCCTAGGGTAAGTTGGCCAGTCATAGCAGCTGAATGGATGAACCTCCAGGTCTCAGCATGAGACCTCGTCTCAAAATACAAGTTAGATGGCTCCTAAGGAACAATTCAGAAAGTTAGCTCCTGGTCTTGAACTGCGCGTGCAGCATGGAAGACATTACTTTTCTTAGAGCTCCTTCCATCTGGAAGTACAGCTCTCTACAACCAAGTGCTCAATATAATCTAGCAGGGCTATGCCAGTGATCTAGCTTGGTGGCGGAGCATTCGCCTAACGTGGGCAAGACCCTGCATTCTATCACCAGCACAACCAAAAAAAGAAATGTCTACCAGGCTTGAAAATAGGAATGCATCTCTGGAGTCAGGAGGTTGGGTGCACAGAGGAGCCCGTGGGAACTGCTTGGCAGGGGACAGAGCCTGGCAAATGGGAAATCAGCTTCACCTGCAACAGCAGGTGGGTGGGAGAGAGAGGTAACAAAGATAATAAAGATAAAGCAGGGTAGGGAATGAGCCTACCATAAGACCTGGGGAGTGTAGCTCAGTGGTCAAGCACTTTCTTAATATGTGCAAGGCCCTTGGTTTGATCCCAGCACCACAAAGCAGAAGTCACACTAGGTTTCCTGACTATGGCAGGACTGGGCTGGATGAGGAAGACACGTGAATCAGGAGCAAAGGAAGGAAGGTGAGGAGCGCCAGCCATGCTGGACATTCCATACAGGTATCCTCAGCACGCTCCACTGGGAGTCTATCTCTCCCCCTTCTGGGATAATATCAACATGAAACATAACCCTTTAAAAATCAGCAATACATGCCTGGAAAGATGGCTCACAGTCAAGGTCAGCAGGTTCCTTTGCTCTCGTCTGACAGAATCTCCTTGTGTTCTACCAGCATCCCTGGCCATGTGGAAGGGCTAATGCAGAAAAAACGCCCATCCATTCATCCGGACAATTAGTGTGGCAGGAATGTCACAGTTATTCTCAGATCTTGGCTCTACCCATGAACTTGAAACCTTGAGAGAACTATGTGATCTTGCCACTTCTCATCAATGCCCCTATCGTGGACAGTTCTGAAGGAATGCAATGGAATGCCACCTGGAGGAACAGGTGACTCGAAGAGCCTGGGAATGGCAGTATGAGACACCGCTGACCCCAACTTCATGTGCACACACCCCCAATTCGCCCATTTGTGCTCTATCAGGGGCCTCCAAGGGGGTACTACTGTGTCTACCATCTGGGAAAGGAAATGGGAGGTAGAGATGGCACCTCAGACTAGAAAAGTTACATCCTGGACCTAGCAGCAGCTGCGCTTAGGATCCAAGTCAGTGACACATGCAAAGGGAGGAGCTGGCCAGCCGGGGGACGGGGCCACCCAGGACAGACCCAGTAAGAAAAGGCTCTAAAAGGCTGGATCAGTGGCCTTATTTTGACAAGGAGCTCAAATAATAATCTAAAGGATGTGGCTATTTGTGGGGATAAAAGAACTACGTAGGGCCAACTACTATCCCTTAATAATAGGACAAGTCCCCCTAGAAAAGGGAGCACCAACCAGATCTTCCAGGGGACAGGAGAGGCTTTTGTGGTGAAATGGAGCTCTGTGGGACTTTGTGAGTTCTCTTCCTGTTTGAAGGACTTTAGTGCGTGCAATCCTTATCTGCAACCTGCATTCTCTCTATACGTAAGGCTGATTAGCTACTATTGCCTAGAAACAAAGAAAAATTACTTGCAATTATTTTAGATGGAAAAAAATAGCGAAGTTAGGAAGTATTTTCTTACTCCCACACTGCCCATTAACAACTATAACTCACTGATTTAGAGGAATGCAGTACATCAGAACTTGACTCAAGTCCCAAGGGGATGTGGTCGAGAAGGGTCTACCTTTAAAGAGCGCCAATTAAAGTAATTACCATTGTCACAGAAATTACTGTTCTTAAGACTGAAGTCCTTATCAGAGATCACTTAGGAAGGGGCGAGGGGAGGCCACACAACCACATGACCATTAGGGAGACAAAGAGCCAAGCATTGTGGAATCCCACTGCTTAAACACTTCATGGCCACCACCATTCATGAAGGGATGCTGAACTTCCTGAAATTTTCGAAGATCTGTCAGCCATGAACCCAGGGTGGGAGGGACACATGAGGACAGCCACACACACACACACACACACACACACACACACACACACACACACAACACCACACACTGGAGACACATGGCTGTCACCTTCCTCCTTCATGAAAGCCTCTCTTCATATGCAAGCTCCTGGTGTTTAGATGCTCAGCAGGGATCAAAGAGAGAAAGAGAAATAGAGTCCCTCCAAAAGGAACATGGGTCTAAGAGTCTGTACACACAGGGTCTAGGGTCTAGCTCCATGGTAAAGCACTTACCTA